GAGACAAACTTTTTACTGAAAAAATAAAATATGTTACTGGCTGTTATTTTTTATACCGATTTTGAATTTGGAATGTTAACTTTTAGTTTATTTGTATCGCAAATACATTTATATTTTCTCGTGATGGAGGGAAAGAATTAATTGCAGTTGCATGTGCAACTGTCGTTTCGCTATTTAAGGCGGGAAAAACACCGATGCAGATTTTCCGCGAGCTGAAAAGTTTTCCTGTAAGCTGTAACTTCGTCTATTACACAATATAGAGATACAAAGAGACAAGTTCTCTGCAAGATCGCCAAAGGAGTGATCGGCCACGCTCTGTGAGGATGCCTGCTAACATCAAAATCATCCGAGAGTGACTTCGCCGAAATTCATGTCGCATTCAGAAGAAGCTCGCTCTGCTGACAAATATTTCGCGCGTTTCAGTAAACAGAATAACTGAAATATGATCTTAAGGTAAAGGCCTATAGCTCTAGAAAAGTTCGATTTAAAGGTAAAGGCCTAGAAAAGTTCACTGTTTAAACGATCGTCTTCGTAAGTTACGAACGGTGTCCATTGCTGCTGAGGAGACACGATGCCAGGAAGATATTCTTCACCAACGAGAAAAAATTTACTGTCAATGAAAAGTTGAACCGACTTCAAACAATAAAGTGTACGCAGTCCACTTGTTTAAGAACCTACTCCATGCAAAGAATCCTTCCTCTTATAATGGACTTCAAATAGAATAGGAGTACGTTACATATTCGACGGTGATGTATATATTTTTTATATATGTTCACCGATATTTCCGTCAATTATTGACCGATTTCAAAATTCTTTTTTCATTCGACAGCTTGGTGGATCGAAGTTGTCCCATTAAAATTTTATGGAAATTGAATAAGTATTTTTCCTTTTATAACAAAACAAACAAATATAATATGTTATGTTATGTCCTATTTCAACTAAAAACACAAGATTAGGTATTTAGAGTTAATTCAAAGGAAGATTTTCTATGTTCAACAAGTACGTATATTTTACTCTTTGATATATATATTCTTATGAAAGTCATAGATAGTAAGTATCAATGAACAAAGTATATATATACATAACTACATATACATAACATTTTGGGGTCTATCCAATGCACCCAAAATAGTACATTACGATATTAGTGCGTTATAACCAATACACACGCATATCGTACGACGTTTTTTAACACATTTGTGAGGAAACAGAAAAAAAACATTTTATATTTTGTTCATTTTTAATTATTAAAACAGTTAGTAAAATTACGATTATTAAAATGATACGTAGTTCTTGTTGGTTCTTTAATTACGTTATTATTATTATTACTATTCATAATGTCAATGTTTTGTGTTAGGGTAAATGTTGGAGATGACAAAACTTCTTGAAAGGCGGCAGAAGAGCATTTTAATTCGTCATTAGTTGTAAATAAAAAAATATTATCAGTAGAAGTAGAGGGGCGTGGCTCAGGGCAAAACTTCTTCGTTTGTGGCTCTAAATTTATTGCCTGAGTTATTTTGGCACTTATATTTGCTTTGTTTTGGTTGGAATCTTCTACATAAGATTCTACTACTGCGTTAGAACGCCACCCGCCATACCGCTTTTAAGTCAATATATCAGCTCCCGATTCAGCAAGTAATGTAGCTGACGTTCTTTTGAAACTGTGCCCTGTATAATCAGCATCCGGCAATCCTAAAAACTTGGCGATTTCTTTTGGCATGGCACCGAATTTATTTATGCCAATAGGTTGCGCAGAACATTTACCTTTTTGGTAATTCTGAAAGAAATTATTATTTTTTGCCTTAGTCGTACGCAGAGCTTCATATTTTTTGACCACGTCATAAAATGGGCCGTCGATAATAAAAGATCGGGGTATTTTGTTTTTAGTGTTTGGGATTATAACTAAAAGCATTTTGCCTTGATTTTCAATGTCATTGTGAAGCTCTTGCCGTCTACATGCACCATTAATACCAAATATTGACGCAACCTGAAAAGAAATAAAAATGCGATAGATAAGGTATAGGTACTTAGCTTACAGACGGTCGTTAGAAAATATATAAAAGAGTATGTACAGTAGGTAGATCAATACATAAATTAAGGAGGCAAACTGACCTTTGTAGCCAGGTACTGGCTATCTGGAACATCTCTTAGAAACTTTTCGATGTCATTTGATGACAGTACCTTTGATTTTTTCTTTATAAAACCATCAGAGCTTTTATAGCAACCTTTATAAAAATGCAATGAGATTTGAATATAAATTAATATCGACACCATTTTTCATCTTGAGGGTACTTTTCAGCATAGAATATGTTGTCCACAACGAGCTAGGCTTATATATACTAGCTAGTTCATTAAAATACGCCAAAACTACATCTTCGGAATGTGTCTTGGCATTTTTCATGTTTTTCCACTTCAAGAAATTTTCATACGTGTTTATGTATCTGTCTTTGGATATTCAAGCTGTCGCATGCGGTTCGCGCTTCTGTTAGTATATCCGGTGGAGTCGAAGTAATATATTGCTCTTCTTCATTATTGAAAGTTGTCATTTTTAGATATGCACATAAAAGACAAAGAAAGAAAATTTGAGAAAAATGGCGCGAGGATTATTTTCTGCCGTAGCTGCGTGAAAATGTTGGCAAAGACGTTAAAGCATGCAGCCAAATTTTTAAATTACCGAATAAACTGATTTTTTTTTATTTTAAATAAACTCAATCCGTGAATGTACACTGTTGCTTTCCCGCCATTTTAACAGCGCGCTAGCGCTGTCTACTGACTATCGCCGCGCGGCGATTAGTTCGAAATTTGAATAGCAACAGCGCGCGAAATGGCAAATAATACTGTTATGGAATTTGTATGGACTATAACTTAACTATTTGCTTTAGTAACACACGCGTTTTTTATGATCCGCTTTACATATTTAAAACCGGTGGAATTACATCAGCTTTACGAGCAAAGGTGTTAAAAAAAAATATTTCAAGCAAATAAACAAAATCTTTTATTCTAAGACTTTCACTATGTTAAACTTTTTCATTTATGTAGATATTTAATATTTTTAGTGTTACCTTTTATATAAAAAAAATATCAATATCAATATCACTAAACTTTAAAAATGTGATAAATAATAGGTATAAAAAAAGTAATAAACAGTATCTCAAAAGCGACTTATTAAAAAAAAATGCTATTGAAGTCGTACCTATCGTTCAATTAATTACCTACAGAAAACCTCCGCCTGATTTCAATAGCATTTACTTGAATAAGTCGCTTTTGAGTTAAGTATTATTCATTACTTTTTTAAAGTTTGAAGTTGATTCTACTTTTATTAAACTTTTTGTTATTATTACTAAAGATTACAATTTTGTTGACATTAATGAATTGATTAAGTAACAAATTTATGTAAATTTCATAACTATTAAGCTGATAACTTTCTTGGGCACATAAAATACATATTCAATTAAAGATTGAACTGAATTCAATAAATAATGTTTGGATTTTGAGTGTCAGACACACTGTTTGGACAAAAAGTGATATGAATGCTTGTGCATTATTAGCCTACAAAATGACATTGATATTTATGGTAATAAATGAGTCAAATAGTGACAAACGGAACAACGCGTGTAAAATTTTGTAGGAATATTGTTTTTTGTTCATAACAGCACGGAGCATTAAAAAAAATTATAATGTAATTATAAGTACTACATTTTTTATAACATGCCATCTAGAAACTGTAAATCCTTTTCCGGTTCTAGCAAATAAATTACAAGTCTCTTATCGTTTTAGTTACTCTAAAAGCCTTTGTGTTCAACGACGCATCTTGTCGATTGTTTGTCACAAAAGAAATAGATTGGATCTACTTCGGCGTGTGTGTATTTCTTTTTAATCAACTTTACTTGTTTAAGAAAGAACAGAAGAGTTAATTCTGTTCTTGTAACATATCACAAAGTTGAAAACTTTACCTCTTTATAATATTATTATAATAATGTACTTCAACGTAGATTATTAAAGCAAAAGTGTTATTATTAATACATGTTTAAAAAATAATTTATATTATTTATTGCAGCCAAGGAAATGGTGGATTACATAGCAGATTATCTGGAGAATATAAGAGACCGTCGCGTGTACCCTGGAGTGCAGCCAGGATATTTACACAAGCTATTGCCGAAAGAAGCCCCTGCACTTCCTGAGAAATGGGATGACATCTTCAAGGATGTAGACCAACATATTATGCCAGGGGTAAAATCATAGCATTTATGTAAGATACAATAGATGTAGCTCATTGATGTACCTGGACAGAAGGCTAAATTTCGAAGCGCAGTAAAGTCGACCAATCAGAACGATTCTAGTGATCTATCAATATCCACGCATTTGAGTGTGAATACGGCTATAGTTATTGAAACAAGATTCACTATAAATTTAAATGGTACTTTCGGTCATCGTCGTAATTATGTAGGTCGGTAGGTCATCGGAAACGATGATTCAACATGCGTATGGTTTCCATATTCGGCTAGGGTCTCGTCGGGACTTTCTGGGGGGAAGGGTATTGGGGAAGAAAATATACCTACAGAATTTTGAGAAAACCAATCTAGTTTTAATTCTGTCTAAGTTATTATAGTCTACTTAACTCTGTAAAATTGACGCCACAGTCCGTTGTCTGTTTCAATCGAGATATTTTCGTCTTTAGATAGGATGTCAAGATAGAAACCTCAATAATGGTGACTTTCCTGATATTTCCACAGTTTTCGACCGCTGAATTTCTAAAAAATCAACTCGATTCATAAATCTCACATACAGTTCCGCACCAACTGATTAGTAAGAAATGAAGAAAGGAAACTCAAGGTTTCTGACCCTTGTTAGAAGAAAACAAATGTGGAACCAAAAGAAGGTTCTGGAAACAAAAAACCATTGATCAGTGAGAGAGGAAGAATGTAATTAAAACCAGTATTATTCCTGGCACTAGCGTTTAAAAAATAAAGAGCATTATAGGGCGAAATTGACGTATTCAAATGAGTTTGATTGCTTTTTGTCCACAGTTGGTACACTGGCAGAGTCCGCATATGCACGCATATTTCCCAGCGCTGACATCTTATCCCTCTATCATGGGGGAAATGTTGTCTAGCGCTGTCAATGTCCTTTGTTTCACTTGGGTAAGTAAGATGAGTTACTATATACAGAAAGTTCCTGTTCAATGTAAAAATATAGTAAGTTGCAGTATACAGATTATTTACCGAACATGATTTTATAAAATTACCAGCAGTTTCCGCAGTAAATTGTAGTAAATCGTAAATTGTAGCCTATGTCAACCTCGTATGATGTAGCTAGCCCTAGGTGAAAGACTTTTTATTATCGGTCCAGTATTTTCAGAGTCTATTCGATGCAAACAAACAAACAATCAAATCTTTCCTCTTTATATTATTACTATAGATATTTCTGTTTTGGGAACTATTATAAGTGGTAAAATGCCAAAACTATCCATTTTAATATGCATTGCAAATATTATTTATTGTTGACAAGATAAATATGAATAATTTAATATAATAATTTTGGTATGTTTTTATGTGTAGGCTTCTTCACCAGCCGGCACGGAGTTGGAAACAATCGCAATGAACTGGCTTGGGAAACTCATCGGTTTACCGGACTGTTTTCTCAATGAGAAGAATGATAGCCCAGGCGGTGGTGTAATACAGGTTGGTGTTTACGAAATAAAAAAAAATAGTGTATTCACTTTTTGTGTTTCGATTTTTCAACATGTTCTTATCATCACTATCCGACCTCCAAGGATTTTGCTGGCAGTTTTAACCTAACATAACCTGACATACTATTCTGGTAGCAATTCGTTTTTAAAGTAGTTTCTTTCACTGTGCACTAAAGGTCAACAGGATAAATAGTTAATCAAGCAAAAATAGAATCATTTCAATCCGATGTTCAATTTATGAGAAATACGTGGACAAACATATATAAAATATATAAACCTACAAAAATGTAACACTCGTGTTTAGAAGCCCATATAGACTGAAATATATGAATATTATGCTACATTCCAACACGATTACAATATACAAGTCAAATCGATAATCTCTTCTTTAAAGTCGGTAAAACTTAAAAGTTTGTATCTTGAAAACTACTGAGCCGATTTTGGTTAAGTCTAAGCAATTCAATTGTACATCCAAATATACATCTTTAAAATTATGCACACGTGTTAAGAAGCCCATACAGATGACATTACATGCATACATCTCCAATTGATAATCTCCCTTTTTTGGAGTCTTATGACAAAGAGCGGGAACTCTATGTTAATTACATTAATTATATACTTCTTTTTTAGACGACAGCCAGCGAAGCGACTCTAGTGAGTTTACTAGCAGCACGTACTAGAGCATTGATGGAGCTAGCGGAACTGAACCCTGATCTTCAGTCTTCAGAATTACTGGGTCATCTCATCTGCTACTGCTCTGACCAGGCACATTCTTCTGTCGAAAAAGCTGGGTTGATCGGTCAGTCTTTGCATACAACATTTCAAAAGATCCTCCTGATGAATCTTAATCATAAAGATTAGGGATCTCTGTCATAAGTTCATCTTACCCTTTCATAATATCTGTCATAAATAAGAATGTATTAATATTGATTTGTTAATCACGTTATAATTGCTAAACAGATTCGGGTGAAAAGGTAGTTGAAAGTTACCTAAGTTAAATAAAATTCAGAGATAACAAAGTCTGTAACAAAAACACTAGCTATAATTAGTACTTACTAGCTTCTATACGTGCCTTTTTTAATTCGTTTCTTCGTATGAAGTCATTCGTCTATTCCAATTTCGATATCGATTCATATTCATTGGATTAAAGAATGTAAAAAAAAGATATATATCACCGTCGAACATATAATCCTTTTCGATTTTGAAGTAGTTTTAAATTATCTATGAAGCTATGGAGAAGAATAGATATGGAAATGAGTTTATAATTAAAAACTTAAATTTTAATAAACAGGTTTAGTGAGAATGAGGTACATCGAATCCGATAGTAACCAAAGCATGAGGGGATCGAAATTGGAAGAAGCCATCTTGTGCGATAAGGAAAAGGGACTGGTGCCGTTCTGGGTAAGTTATTGTTTATTATTTTTATATTATATTCAGAACAAACGGAACATATTTATCCAAAAAATCTTTAGCGATATCGAAACGCTTGAACCAGCATAACATAAATTTCAAAATTGTGATTAAATAATCTTTAGTTCACACGATAAAAATAAGAAAACAAGACGAAATTACACCGTATGACTATACAAAGTACACAAAAGGCAGCTTTATTATTAAACATCAATCTCTTCCATAAAGGAATTCGATATAAATGAACTTAAACAACTCTCAAACTCTCCACATGATTTTAATCTTGATGTATTAGTGTTGGAGTTTAAAATTAACTGCGGAAATACTGCTGATTTTGATGTAACTTTATATGTTACTGTTATGACGGGTTCGATGCTTAGGCAAATGAATAAAAGGCTGACTGAGCTTGTGAACTTGATTTATTAAAGGGTAATAAAAAAAACTGTAAAAAACAAAAAAGGTATATAAAAACAGTTAGTATGATTACCTCAATAATATAATTAAAAAGTTAAATAAGATAATTACTTACCCCGTTTTTTAGGTAGATATTACACGAAGATATTTACATGCTTCTTAATTAAATAATGTTAATTTATATTGGATTTATGATTAAATTATTAAAATGATTATATGATTAAATTATCGTGTTCTCGCCGGATGATTTTTTTACGAACTGACATTCATAAAGAGCATATTGGATTACTCAAAAAGTCAAATTACGAAAAATCTAAATATTATATTATAACTCAAAGGTGACTGACTGACATAGTGATCTATCAACGCACAACCCAAACCACTGGACGGATCGGGCTGAAATTTGGCATGCAGGTAGATGTTATGACGTAGGCATCCCCTAAGAAAGGATTTTGATCAATTCTACCCCCAAGGGGACAAAATTGGGGATGAAAGTTTGTATGAAACTTTATTAATTTTAAACCGATCGGGCTGAGACTTTGCATGCAAAAAGCTACTATGATGTAGGCATCCCTAAGAAAGGATTTTGATAAACTCTATCCCTAAGTGGATAAAATAAGGGATGAAACTTAATTTCAGTTATTTTACACGATATAATTAATAAATATTCGTTGGAAAGCTGCTCAAAGTAACTTAACCACGCAGACGAAGTCGCGGGTAAAAGCTAGTGAATAATAAAATGAAATGGTACTGAAGATCAAAGACGAAAGTTTACATGCGCATACCTAGGACGAAATAAACGGTGGTACCGTAACTTTGTGAGGGTATTTCATGTTTTTTGCACTAACTTTATTTCCGAAGTACATGCAGTCTTACATGTCATGCTTTTAATTGTATGTTCAATTTGAGACTTTTTGTGATTTTTCTGCTGAACTATATGTGTGTACAAAATGCTTAACTAAAGTTGAGGGTGCCAAGACTGTGCGGAAAAAAGGGACTTGTTGTTTGATAGTCTTCGATACCATTTTAAAGAGCAGCGGCGTAGTTCAGTTCTTTTTATTTCTTCACTAAACACAACAATACACCAATTGAGTTTCTTGATTTAATTTTAAGAAAACACACCGACACGCGCATTGGCCATTTCTTTTTGTTACTTTTTTTTTTAAATATGGCCTTGTTCCGTTATACACGGAAATTTTGCCAACATCCCGTAGTGAGAGAGACTGAACGGTAGTTATAATTAACATTAACTAATTCTTCCTTAAGATTGTTCTTTCTCTACTAAGAAAAAGCAACACACGAGCAAATATCACTATAACTACAATAATTTAAATACATAAAATAGGATATTCTTTATTTATTTTTTGCTTGATGCGACAACTGACATTTTTATTCTTTTTTTTAATGGAGAGGGTAGAATGACAGAGAACAGATACAATTTTAAATCATATTGCCTCTAGCCTGAGTTGTGTATTGAGTATGTTTTGATGTGTAATATCTATGAATTTAATAATATACAACCTTTGCTTTTGGCCAGCGGTTTCACCCGCGTGATTTTGTATTATATATAAAAATCTTCCTTATGAATCACCCTATCTATTAAAAATACGGAAAGCGGCTTTGTTTTATACTGCGCACGTATTGATATTTATTATTAATGGTGCAGAGAAAATCAGAAAATGTTCTAGAAAACATTACCGAAATATATTTTTCGTATAAAGTTAATACTAATACTAAAATCTAAAGTTAATACGAAAAATCTATGATAACAATCTTCACAATTTAATATACACTCTAAGCTATTATTTTCAAATAAACAAGTCCTTTTCTTAACTCAAATTTCTCGATGCCATTTTCATAATTGGCAACAAGAAGATCCTCTGTAGGACGAACGCTAATCCCCTTCTAAATTGGTCCCCCTGGAACTATGAGACAGTTTAAAACAGTACAGATGAAAGATTTGACCATAATAAAAGCTTAGTTACTGAAATATTGTATTCTAAACACTGGGGTGTATTTATAAAATTCTCAGAAGAGATCTTTGTTTAGAGTTCTATTTTGTTTATTAATATTGCTGTTCCAATAATTTCTGTCGTTAGTACTTTACAAATATTATCACTGTTATAAATATAAAATAAATTCGCTTCCCGCTGTCTGTATGCTGAGATCTTTTATCAATTCAATAGATTTTATAGCGGTTTTCATTAATATACAGAGGGGTTTAAAAGGAACGTGTACCAGTATATGTATAATACAGGACCACGCGAACAACACTGCCGGTGGAAAGATTATTGTTTACTTAATAATTACTGTAAAGTTTCCATCTTAACGTAATTTAAGAATATTTCTTTCGGCTATTTAGGTGAATTACTTAAACATTAACTAACGTATATCTCACTCCAGCGAAGTAACAAATGCTTGAGAAATTAGTCAGATCTACTAGATCTCAGGTAGCAATCGTTAGATCTGTCGCCTGGACTGCGAGAGGGACCCGTCTAGGGACTCTTGGAGCTGGGAATTTCTTAGTGCATTTTTTCTTTAAAATAACATCAATGCAACATTGTAAATGCAAAATAACCAGTATTATTTAATATTTAGTTGGTAAACAGGAGTTAATCGTGGTCGTAATGAGTAACGTAATTTTACATTTTTTTTATATAGCATTCTGCCCTACATATATAAATTTTAACTGTGGTCGATTATGCAATGAAAAGGTATCCAAAGTTTTATTTTTAGTTTTCAACTGTAGTACTTCACGTATTATTAACATAATGATAAGATAGGTTCAAAAGTATAGGCAGATTCGGTTATATCCATTATTAACATAATCATAAAACTTATATTTCCTAAAAGGAACACTGACTGACTGGACTGGATAAAATTGATACTTTTTTGTATTACACTAAAATATTTTCCATAGCTAATTTCTAGGTGCATTAGATTTGACACGATTATGTTCCGACATAACAGATTATTGAGCTCGCGAGATGCGTATTTAGCTACTCGTTTAACTATTTTATATATTTCACTGGATGTGCTATTAAAATAATTGTTCTCTGACATTAAATTAAAACTACTTATCTAAACTATTTCTTAAAATAATAACTAAACTAAATTAAAAATGTCTCCCAGATCATTGCCTACAGGTAAGGTACCCAGAAGGTTGCGAGCGTTACCTCTTTGAATAGCTAAATTAATGTGCTATTAATTTTACAGCGCATGGAAACAACTTCGTTTTTTTTTTTTAAATATTAATAACTATTCATAGAACCTACAAGTTTGCAAACCTTATTTTTTATACAAGAAAGATATATGTATTGGCTTAATTTATTTTTGCTGACGCCTCTAAAATAACTTTAGAACGGGTATTAAGTAGCTATTTTATATTTTATATATATATATATATATATATATATATATATATAACAGCTAATAAAGTATTTAAAATAAATAAAAGAAAAAATATTTTCACTAAATCCTTCCACTGCTTTTCTTATGAAAGCTATTTAATAATGATAATATGAGCAACAAGGTTATTTCTTGTTAACACCCGTATCTATGACTATAGATACAAAAAATTTGGTTAAGTAATTATTTAAGCAAATGTTAATAAACAAGAATTTGTATGAAGTAAGAACTGTAATTAGTAAAAATACTTTATTAGCTGTTTACAGTTCTTATTTTATTCCAATTCTCGTTTATTGGTTAAAAATATCTGCCTAATTTATGCCATTTTCTCGAGGAATTAATTCTTTCGATATTATACCTATACTAGTGTTAGTGCTCTTGGGAGATTATAGTAGAGCATATACTAAGTACTAACTAGTGAAAATAGACAAAAAATTATTTGTTTCCGGAACTAAACTTGTGAAAAAACTTTTTTTTTTATGAATTTATGATATATGGTTTAATTTTTTTCTATTCGTATGGTACTCTGTGCGTGCAACACTCTACAAGCCATCGCCGGTTTTTCGCTACATATTTTGAATTAAAACTTATTCTTATAACAATTTTTGCTTACTGCCACTTCTAGCGAGTCAATCTAATACATAATTCGGTTATCGATGAAACTTCAAGTTAACTAACTGTTCATCACTAGTGTCAACATCCTCACGATTTTTAATATAGTTGGTAACTTCACAGCTTGTTTCTTATAATAATGAAAAATAATCGGGCTACACAAAGTTATCCCAACACTTATTTTTTTTAGTATTATTATTTAGTCAAAGATTAGAATGAAATTAAACAATTTACTTTCGGGAAACTTTGTATGTCTCTAATAAAAAAAAAAAAAAAACAACAAGAAGTGTAAATTTTATTGCTTATTGATCTGGGAAGAGGCTCTTATGCACTTGAGCCACCTCCGTTGTAAATCTTGGAACGCCTTGGTAAACGCATGAATTACCTAATATTATTATTCATTTTAAATATGTTTCTATAAAAAATATTTTTATTAAAGTTATCCTAGTAAACCTTCAGTTGTCAAATTTTAAAAATGTAACGTTTTTTTAATTCAAGGTGTGCGCAACTTTGGGCACCACTGGATCGGTAGCGTTTGACAATCTTCGTGAAGTGGGTGAGGTGTGTGCGCGCCACGCTGCTTGGTTGCATGTAGACGCTGCTTACGCGGGCAGTGCATTTTTGTGCCCCGAGTACAGGTACGTAAAGACTTCAGCGTGCTAAATTCAGACGTCAATTAAAAAATGACCGACCACTATTGGTCGTGCATTGTTTTATTGAATCGCTTCCATAAGCTCGGAACAGAAATCAGATCTCATCGACCAGTGTAGTTGGGTCAATAATTATAGGCACTTGTAGTTTTATTTCACCCACCACCTGGTGGACCGAAGATCTTATAAAGGCTGCAGGAAGCCCTTGGAAGGATGCGGACAGATCATTCCAAGGGCTTCCTTGAAGAAGATCGATCGGCGTAGAGAATGTATGGGGGAGGCTTCATATGGAAATGCTCAGCAGTGAGCGTCGTATGGTCGTTGAATATGATGATGGTGTTTTTTTATTTAAATCATCGAATATAACAAACTTTCAAACGCAGATTTTCAAACAGAAATACATTATAAATGAAATCTACCAGAAAGTTTTGTCAAAACTGCTAGACTATTTTCTTGGCCGACCGTACTTAATAGCTAATCTATATTTGGTTTTAGATACTGGCTGGATGGAATCGAGCTTGCAGACTCTTTCGCTTTCAATCCATCCAAATGGCTGATGATCAACTTTGACTGCACTGCAATGTGGTAAGTGTGATAGTGATTAATTAATGTTTGATAGCATAGTTGCATCGTTATTCTCTGAAGGCAGGTTGGGCTAAATGCTGCATTCTGTTATACAATCGGCCTTTAACTCAACAATAAATCCAGTGGTCCCTGTCAGAGGTTCAAACAAATAAAGCCTACTTTAAAAAAAAATGATTTTATTTCATTAATGCGTTGAGCTGAAAATAGAGATAATATTTTATTTTTTCGTTTCCCTTTTCAGGGTAAAAGATAGTACGGCTCTTCACAGGACGTTCAATGTTAACCCAATTTATCTGAGACACGAAAATTCAGGTAAATTTATGATTTCTTTTAATTTCCTCTTGACTTTGTTGGATGAGCAAAATAATTTAACACCTCCATTTTTTGATCGTATTATAAAATGGAACCATAATGTTGTCACATATAATAATTAAAGTAAGAAAGTTGGATCAAAAGTTGAAACACGACTATTATAACTCATCGCGTGGGCCCAAAGCAGATCGAGAAATTTTAAGAGTTAGTTATAATAACGTTAGTACTAGTATTAATGAAGTTACTATTAATAAGTGAACAGTTTTGTTCCTTCTCAATTCAATCTTGAGAATTCGTATCATAATCATCATCATAATTCTCGAAAATCACTAATATTAATATTAACTTGAGGTTATCTATGAAAATATATAACATGCTTTCTTTTAACAGGAAAAGCTATCGATTACATGGTGAGTAAAGAAGAATTAAGTGTTTACTCTATAGATTTAAACTCGCATATATTATTAGTACAGAGAAAAATATCTGTCTATTATTTTTGTGACGTAAGGTAAAATTCAAACATACAAAATTAATTAATACCTACACATAAAAACATTCAAAGAAATTGACAAAATTCACCGACTTCCATAGAAATGGCAGAAGCACGGGGACAGAAACATCAAATCACGATGTTAAAAAATTACCAGTGTGCATATTCCTCAGAATTGGAACACGATGACCTTTTAATAATTCTTTGTCAGTTATTTATTATTTTAATGTCCGTTTTTCTGTCGCCTAAATATTTAAGAATCGCCTAAGGTAAAAATTGACGCGCTAGGCATTTGCGTATATGACAGATCATAAATATGTCAATAATAAAATATTTTTTTTACTTATCTACCTAGGCGATTCGTAATATTAGGCGTTTCCTAGTTAAGCTATGTCTTATTCTAGGTCAGTGTAAATGGGTATACATTTACATCTATTATTTACATTTACACCCATGAAAATGTTTTTCAACCATAATCATCTATTATCCTACATATCCATCTCTTATCCTAAATTTCCGTCTTTTTCAGCCTACCTACAGCCCTTTTACATTCAAGTTCACGTATAAAACCTTACTAATAATTTATAACTTTTAGTTTTTTAATGACTAAATTATCTTAAAATGTAGCTCGGAACTGAAAACGCTAACACTAAGCGTTATGGAACAAAGATCAACCAGCAAAAGACTAATTATGCAAACACTAACGGAAGACTCAGCAACGAAGTTTTGAGTAACGGAAAATTGAATAACGGAAAAATGAACGTAGATGACGATTCCGTCGATGACTTGTATGGTGATAGTAAAGAAGACAGTATTCTTCACGGCTACGATAAAATGAGTCACGGTTGTGGTAAAACGATACAGCTCGAGAATCCTGATAAAAAAGAACCTCTTGTAAGATTTGCGAAATAGTTTTTGGTGATGGCAATAATAAAAGGTGGTAGGATGGAAGTATTTAGACTATATTTTTTTCTTACATATGTTGGTATATTTAGGCGGTGATGGCAATTTATATTTAATGATTTCAAACTACAAAAAACATGTTTTAGCATTCATAAGCAGGGCTTGGTAATTTGTTTCACTAACCAGCACGTAAGAAACTCCATATTTAATTTTAAGAGCGTTTTTGGGATTTGGTTAATGTTTTGGTTCTGAAGATCAAATAAAACGGTTCCCGCTTTAAAAACCGGTTAATTTTTGCTCACAGATTTCAGTCACTCCACCCAACGATCGATTTATACATTTCTTACTCTCACGCCATTTTTGTCAATGAAAAGCTTACCTCTATTTTCGTTTGGAATTAACAAGATAAATCCCAGTAGTAGTTTGATTCGCTTTGAGCGGATATTTTAAAAAAACTTGGTACAAGCATCTTTATTAACCGGTATTTTTCGAATCGTTATAAAGTTGCTGTGGTAAAATAAGATATGTTATTAACATATTGTTGAACATTTGCATGACCAGTGGCCCAAAACTATGGAATGGAATGAAAAAACAATATATTAACATAATTGTATTATGATTTATATATATTTGTTTTCAGCACTGGCAAATTCCTTTGAGTCGTCGTTTTCGCGCACTGAAACTTTGGTTCGTGTTGAGAAACTACGGTGTGGTTGGCCTGCAGAAGCACATACGCGAGGTAAATATTATCATCAAACTTGTATTGTGATGTCGGCATACCTATATAACACTGGCAATGGTCTCAGTACTGAATGATGATCGAAATATATCGTTACTCATGAAACAACTTTTCAGGAACTTGGTTAATGAACTGAATGAACTAAAAAAAAGAATGAAATGAAAAAATGTTTTTTTTTTTGCTGGTTTTTTTTTAACCAAGTTAAACATTATTGTGCTTTTCAGAGTATTCGTTTAGCTCAAAAGTTTGAAGCCCTTGTTTTGGCCGACCAGAGATTCGAAATTCCTCAACCGAGGAATTTGGGTAAGATTTGCCTCAGTAACTATGATTATCCATGCCCAGCATCTAATGCTTGTTATACTTTATCCTTGTCATAATGAGAAAAAGCTTTAAGGAGTTACCGTTCTTAAACGACTTCATATTTTAAAACACGATTGCTCGGTTCTTCACTAAATTAAACTAGTAGTACGTGCGATTATTAGTTTTTCAATATGATTAACGCCCAATGTTTATAGAACAAATAACGTTATATGTGGCAAGCAGCAGAAGCCAATTGTATACTTCATAAATATACCAATAGACTGTACAATTGGTGATTAACCTAACCTAATCATTTAGCTTGTTAAAAGTAACTGGATGGAGACGATTATATCTGTACTTTATAGTTCCATAAATTTCATTTACCTTAGATAACATAACCATCTCATAAGTATATTCTTTATTTATAATGGTACAAGACGTTAACATTCTACGATTCATAAAGATTTCAGATTTTTTATTGAGTCAAAAAAATATTATTTCTAGGTATGGTCGCATTTCGCATGAAAGGTGACAATGCATTGACAGAACGCTTGCTCAAGCGTTTAAATGCTAGAGGTTTTATCCACGCTGTGCCAGCTTGCTTTAAAGGGGTGTACGTCATCAGGTTTGCTGTAACTTCGCAAAGGACAACTAACCAGGATATAATAGGTAAGTATTCTGTTTCAATTAATGGAATGATTAGTAGAGTTATAACTACAAAATGAAATCTAATTTCTAAAGCGTTAGGACTCCTAGATCAGTAACATCTATCTCACCGTACTAATTCTCTACTATAGTAGACTATATATCGACTTATTATGACTTACTTGAAGACAGCTTTGAAAGTTTCTACAGTATCATTATAAAAACAAATTTGAATTATTTCAGTTAGGACACGGTATATGGGTTTCAACGTAGCAGAAGAGACACGTTCCCTTTCGGCCTTTGAAAACACATAAAATTGTACATTTATGATTTTAGTTGGATTATAATAAATATTAAATAAATAAATCTTCAATTGCAGAGGATTGGAACGAAATTAAATTCGTTACGTCTGAAATACTAATGGAGGTATTCGGATCTGAAAATGGTAATATCGTTGTACCTAAGAAACCCAGAATCTCATTGAAAGGTAATTGAAATTAAAAATAAATCAATAAAATGATGAATTATTTTACTAACCATGTTCTTAAAAATGCTAAATTATTGATTTAAATTTTTCAGAGACTCGTGAACTGAATGCGACCTTTGGTACAAGTCTTCTCCTAGCAAACAGTCCTATGAGTCCCAAAATAGTTAATGGCACTCACGCAGCTATATGTGACTATGAGCAGGTCCTGACGTCCTGTGCGCAGACATTTGCTCAGTTGAAGATGGAGCCTAAAGACAGCCCTGGTAAAATTGAATTCTACATCTAAAGAATATAATCTAAAACAAAAGACTACTCGCAAAATCCATCTAATATTTCCATTTTAATGTAACCTAAAAGGGGTCTGTTAAGGAACCCGAAATAGAATTTGTGACTTGATCCAATGTAAATAACCTTCTAAGTAATTTTAAGGGCACGATATCTTTAATTAACTACCACATTCATCGTCATTTTTAAATAATTTTCGTAAAGCTTCTGATACTTATAACATACACTCATGATTTTCGTTCTAACAAGTCTGGTGGTGGTATTTAGCTTTATGTATTTATTATGGTCGACTAACAGAAATGCGTCGACGAATCCGCGGAATAAAGATGTGGGGAAAGAAATTTTCCTTAGACTCTTGCATGGACATGGTGCAGGGTATGATGGTAGAACAATCGTTGCCTCTATGCAGCGAGGATGAAAGGGAAGACATCTCCAATGGTAGGTTGCTTGGGCTTCTAATTTTGTATTACTTTGTGTTCAATATTTATTTCCTGTGATCGGGGTAAGCAAAGGTATTTTCATTTGCGATATTTTGTTGGAATAACTGAATATAAATATAAAAAATATAGAAGCAAAGAAAGTATATTATAAAACTCTGAATTGATCCATCTACTCGTTCCGATCACAGCTTAATTGATTTATCATCTCATGATTAAAGATCTCTTTCTAGTTTTAATAGCATTATGTTCGTTAATTTTGTTAAGTGTGTAACTAATTACACATTTTTTTACTAATAAAAAAGAGTATTTTTTATGCCATTTCGTTGTGGTCAAAAATTTTGCTGATTCCGAGATATAAATGTGTATATAACTCAATATTGCAAAAAAATGCTCTGTCCAACGTTAAAGTGATTCTTGTCTACTTTCTTCGTATTATATCAAATAGGTTGAGCTATATAAAAATATAAAAAATCCACTTGATTTCAAATTTATGCATTAAATGTTATTAGAGTCTAAAATCATTGCGGAAATTTCCCATATTAAGTTAACCTAACGTGCTCTTATATATAAGTATATGATTTTACATGTTGATTGATCATTCTCATCATTCAGTTATCATTTTAACACTTTTTAATTGTATCGGCTCACAAAACTTGTACTATAGTTTCATAACTTATGAAAATTGGAATATATCGTACGATTCACAGATAATGCATTAATCATAAGATTATTTTAAAATTTATCTAATTTTTCATTTTAGATACGGAGCAAATTAATAAGATTATTGATGCCCAAAACTAAAGGTAAATGTAAATAGTCAACTTTGGTGGCGGGTTACTTGAAAATTAATAATAATTTATAATCTTAAGTAATATACTTCAATAACCTGTGTATTTTTACAAAAAAAAACTAACAAGTGGTTTTCTAAACCTTTTAGAGTGTTTGTTTTTTATTTTCATAAGTCTAACACTAATATTTCTTTTCTATAAAGTCAATTAAAATCCAGGATCCAGTCCCGGTGAACGATCGTCCATATCCTCTTCACCAGTGACATCAAGCAGCACGATTAAGCAAGATTTGTTGTGCACCGACTCAAACCAATTGCAAGTGCCAGCAACGCCATCTAGACAACACCGTTCGAAATCTGTCGATGTTTCCCTTTCTGCTTTACAATTCGATGATGCAAAAATAACTATTGATATGAAAAATAACGAAATAATAATTACACCGACAGGCTCTAAAAGTATTGTAGACGAAGAAATTAAGAAAACTGTACATTTCAACGAAAAAATAAAGATAAGCGATAAAATAGGTCAAGCATTTGACAATTTGCAAGACAGCTTACAAATGCTAACTGAATTAGGTAACAACAGTATTGAAGACAAGAATAATGTTAAGACGGATGAATTGAATGCAAAATTGACCATCAGAGGTCCTGGTAGTTATATTAGAAAATTGATACAACAATTCAGTGAAGGTCCTTTCGAAAGTGAAGATGCTAAGCCAGAATCTGAGAGAGCTCTGCCGACACAGTCTCTAAAAGATAAAGCGGATGCTATATGTAAAAAATGTTTACACTATAAAGGTAAAATTAGTAAGTAATTTGAAAATGTGTAATGTAGCAATAATAAATTAGAGTATATCAAAACATATAACTAAAGTATAATTTAGATATTAATTGATATAGTAAAATTTGCGAAATGGTAAGTGTATTGCTTGATTGTAAAAAAAGCGTAAAAATAATCACATCACTAATTATTAAAATACATACTTTTAACATTATAAAACGTTATTGTGCCATATAAGGTATCATAATTTCCCTCATATCGCTGTCTTTGTAATGTTCTAAATTTATTAAAAATATGATTAGGTTTATATATGAGTAAACATATAAACAGTTCGCTTATATTACGCTCATCTTAGATGGAATATTAAGGAGGCTCAAAGGCAGTAGAAGTTTTGCTATCGCGACCGAATTGTATTATTTATAGCTAATTATTGTACCAAAGCCGGAGGATATTAAATGATTGCATAAATAATTATCATCAAAACTTATCATAATATTCAAGCTTTTTTTTATTTATTATTGGAATATCTAAAATAGATTCTATATAAAAAACTATTTTTTGTCTATGGTCATTGTTTTTTATAGGCTCAAGGTAATATTGTTAGTGAAACATTTAATGATGGTCAAATAGATATCAACAAAAATGTCTCATATTTCACTTGTGAGTGTAAAATGCATCTTCCAGCAAATCTTATCCAGTTTTTTATTTCAGATTTTGAATATTATGATCAATGCATTGCTATTGTTAGCTCGTAATCAATCTCTTGCTACATTCCAGTAAAGTCATTAAAATATTAAGTGTTATTGAGCCAATATTCACTTATCAAAACTTCCATATTTTATTACAGATAAATATATATCTATGATAATTGTTGCAATTTATTATACCTATCAATGTGTGAAACAAAAACTTAAGACCTCTTTTTATGAACATTGTACGGAAGGAGAAGTACGCAATTTGTCATAGTTAAAATACTAGAAAGGAGTACAGGTTTTTTTTATTGAAACGATTAAAGTATATACTAAATTAATTAAGAAAGACTACTATTGTTTGACGTTTTTGGTTACATAAAATAAATATAGTTTTGACAATAAAACCTAAATATTGTCCAAATAATGGTCAAATTCGAAAATTGGGTGAAATCAGATATTGTTATCAATTCATTGTTTAATAGTAATAGCACAAGTTTATTTCATAATATTTGTCTTAAAATTTTAGATAATGGGTGTATTATTTTTAAAATACACAAAAAATAAACGTTTCAAAAAAATCATAGAATATATAAGCTGAATTATATAATTACTTCATAATAGTTCAGAATTAAGTGTTATAATAGCGAAACTTACAAAAATATTAAAACATTATTTAGTTTGTAGTAAGATTATAATATCTATAAAGATTATATGGATCGTAGTTATTAATTGTATAATTACTGCTGTGCAATATCAATAAAAAGAAAAAAAAAACTTATTCCTAAATGCATTGTATATTACTATTATATTATAAATTACTAAATGAAAAAAAAAAATCTTAGCGTGCTTTTAATAAAATTAAAACTAAACACACAATTTATTTTATTGTTGTTAATAATATTAAGTTATGGATATGTTATTTAGTACATATTGTTGTAAGTCCCGTAAATTGCTAATGCGCTTGAACTTTATCTAAATAACACCATTTAAAAATTTAAAGTAGAGATAGCACAAAATGTAAGTGATTACATATTTATTAATTATTGAAATATACATAAATAGTCCTTAAAACATTGTTTGAACGTCGTTTAAACAATCATTTAATAACTTTTAGTTTGTTAATTTAATGCATGAATTTTTGGAAAAAGTATAATTATATGTTAATATGGGGTATATGGAAAATAAAAACAATATGAAAAAAGTCGTTTACTTTGTAATAACGCGAAAATCAAACGGAAGGGACATATTTTTTTAAGTAAAAGTTTGAATGGAATAGGAGACATTAGATATATTTATTTTAATGAAATTAGGTTAACTTGTTGTGAAAATCATAATAGCAGTTGATATTTTAGTCATCCACAACAAGTAACCACAAAACTTAACAATAATAATCGAAAACAACAAAAACAATACAAAAATTGCATGTGATCTCAACACAACCCAACTCATTATGAGTACTCGTGTCCAGTGTTTATTTGTGAACGGTACTTACTGACTTTAGAATTCAATTACATCACCAAAATGGCGCCCAGGCGCATTAGCAATTTGCGGGGATTATAATGAATAGTTTGAATATCTTTACTCTTATAAAACGTATAAAACACAAAATAGGTAGAGTAGAAATTTGAATGTAGTATAGGTTTTATTGTGGAATAAATATTATTACGAAGCATGATTATAATTATTTTATTATTTTATCATATATCCCTAGAATTAGTTATAAATCAAATTTTTTTAACATTTTGAATCGTACTAGCTGTTAAGGTTGATTTAAAATCAAGTGAGATTTTACAGATATCGGTACGCTGTTACGCTCTAACAATTTATTTATTTAATACTTAATGCACAATTGTACATAGGTGGACAGAATTGTTTGGGCATTATCTGCCACTTCAACCTTTGGGTGATGTAGAGATTCAATTATGGTGAACATAGGTGCATAATGAAGTTCAGGGATATAAACATACACAAATAATGTGTAGGGATAAAACATGGTTACAAATTAGAATATAAATTTAAAATAAATATGACATTATAATAAAAGAGTGTTGCCAGATTAAAATAAAAAAGATGCCTTTAACCTATTATCTGTAGTAGGAACTGCTAAAATCTGTATACTGCTGTCACAGGCTCAAATAACCGCCCAAATTTTATTTATTTCAATTCGCAGAAATCGGCAATCTTAGACCATATTTTATGAAAAAAAAATGTTAAAAACTATATTTAAAGAAAAAGAAACAACAATTACAAAAATATTGGGAAAAAATCTTTTATTAAAGGATGCTTACCAAAAATTGTTTTTTTGAAAATATTCAATGAAAATTTTTGTTTTGAAAATAATGGGGCAATTAATTAAAAGAAAAAATAAAAATTATTAGTGGGTGTTGCCAACTTTGGCTCTTATGGCTTCTTGGAGCTGTTTGTCAATCCATCCATGTTGTCTTGAATATCAGATTGGGGAATATTGTGCCACTCTACTGCTGCCGTTTTTAGCTTTCTTATAGTCGTAGGGACTGGTATTTTGCTCGGACACGTCTTTTAAGGTTTTCCCAAATGTATTGGGTTAATTTATTTATTTAAAATGGCACAATAACAGACATCAGACAAAAAAAAACATTAAATACAAAATAAACTTAAATTTAAGGGCTTGTCTGTGCCCAATTATAATTGTGCTCAACAATTGTACTGTCGACAACGATGTAAATATGCAAAACTCTCATACTAAGTAACCTGCTTACAAACGATAAAAAAGCCAGATGTTACAATAACCATAAACAGTTAAGGTAAAATAAAAATAAAATACAAAAATTATGCATATCACAAAATTATAATGTTAACTAAACATATTTATTTGTTGGGTTACAATAACGATGTGCGGGCCATGGTAAAACTTGAATTCCGACCTTATTAAGGTACTCACTGACGGATCTTACGGTATAGCAACGTGCGTTGTCATGCATTAATATCTCAATGATGCGTGGAAGAAGTTCTTCAAGGTCTTGAAGAATTTCTTTCACGTATCATTGATCGTTTACACTTCCTCTTTCGAACACAACAAGATCGGTACGAGCCTCATAAGAAATATCCCCAACACCATTATGGAACCTTCCTGGTAACCTACTGTTTCAGTTTTAACGCATGGAGCAAACCTCTTATTTTGACGCCTGTAGACACGCTGACGTCCATCTAGACCTCTTAAGGCTATTTTGTTCTCATCTGAGAACAGTACGTTCTTCCATTCCTCTACAGTCTAGTCAGCATATTCTCGCGCAAAACCAAGTCTTGCTCTACGGTGTTGTGAGAGCAGTTGCTGAGCGCGAGCTAGACGAAAAGCCCTCAAATAACTTTCTGCTAGTATTTTTCTAATCATACGTTCACTGACACTGATATTTCTCACCCCAAAAAGACGCGTACGAGCTTCAGTAGTGGTCTGAAAGCCACTGCCCTAGCTGCATCATCGAGTGACATTTTTTGCTATCACAAACAATGAGCAAACACAATAATTTCAAATTAAACAATATTCGCCTTCTATGACAGAAAAAAAAAAACAGGAAATGCTAACTCGGTAACACAACATCAACAAACAACGACTAAATTCCGATAACCCTTTGGTGACACTAATTTAGGAAAGAATATAATACTTGTAATAAGTGTTTTCTTTATTGCTAGAGTACCCACTTAACAAACAAAAAAAAAACATTTGATAAGCCATAGTTGACGGAACCAAACAGGGTGATGAAAGATACAGGTAGGTGGACGGTTAATTGTGCCTGTAAGTGTACTTTAACTTAAAATCTGCAAAAAATCTGTACGATTAAAGAAATAACATATCTTCTGATTATAATTATCGTTGTTTCTTTTAAAAAAATACGGGATAAGTACTAACTAAGGTTTGATTATCATATTTAATTTACTTATATATGTAAAATTAAATTATTAAAGTACTTATATGGTCCATATTAATTTTACAAACAACATTCTAATTAGGATAAACTCTCGGTTAACTTTAATACCTAGCTATTGCAGAATGTATTTACTTGCAAAGTTGTGAAGGACTTGATTTACTAGATCGGTAATTTTTAGTATTGTTTTGTGCAGTCGTTTTACTAGATCGATCTGTCCTTAGTTTATGTGTCGTCTTCGCTATGGTAAAGAACTCAGTTCACCAGCTCAATCTATAAAATATTCAGTTCTGCTCGCTGTAGCACAAGCTAGTTTAATATAAATTTAATAAAAGCGGTCCTCAATTTAAAGGTTATTAATACGTGTTTATATAATATGTATAAATTATAAGAGATATGAAGAAAACACTTTTTAATAAATACTTAAAATTTATTAAATAAATGCAACAGTCAATAACATTTCCTACTTACTAACTAAATATTAAATTGAGCTTTATCTAAACACAGAGCAATTTATCTAAACAATTCCGTCGTATAAATTACATTATACAATTCAAACAATCTTCATAAACAAAAATAAATAGAAATCTTTGAAGTTCAAAAAAAAAGAACTGAGCAAATCTTTTCTAAATTCTATTGTAATACTAACTTGCTTTTCAGAAATACTTCGAGATATCAAAAGAGAGGCAAATACATAACGGACGTCAACAATAAATTATTATTATTATTATACATATTTAGTACTGTATTAAAAATACTGTAATTTTAACGTCATCGGTCCACCATATTTAAATTTGTTTTGGGTTAGGGTAAACCTCTTTTCCGTGTTCTGTAGGGTAAATCATCTACAAACCCTCTGAGACCTTTTAAAACGAATATACTTTACAGTCAACATAAAAATCCGATGATTTAACAAAGAACTTTACAAATTCATTGAGTTAATATTTTGAAAACCATTAAAAATATTTAATCAGAGAATTGGTCCCAAACGAACGATATCATTAACCCAATAGAATTCCGTAAGTCTTAAAAATAAATTTAATACTATTATGTAAATAAATGCAATTTCAATGTAAAGTCAACAGTGCATCAGACTATACAATGACAGTTTTGTATAGTATAGATTTTATCCACTTGATTTTGAACCTTAATTTAAGTAGAGTAGAGTCAAAATCACTTACGGAAATTTGACATTTGTGGTACACTGTCGTGCAGATGTGTGAGCAAATTATCAAATGATGAAGGTAAATACTTTCAGGTATAGAGTTTACTTTAATTGTTGAGAGCTCTTGATAATACATTAAATAATTAATTTCCAATCGATTACATTCGATAACATTTTAAGAGCTTAGAGAGCTTTTTAAATGTATATTTTTTTAAATCAATTCTGTTTGTCGTATTGACCCTTAAATATTCAATTACTTTTATTGTTCTTTCTGAACATTTTTTATAAAATTGACTTATTATTTTTTATATAATAGTTGCTTTAATGAAACAGATTAGATCATATGCCATTTTCTGTCATAAATATTTCATCCTAGGGTACTAAGGGCAGGGTACCCATGGTACTAACATAAAAAAAATCTAATTCGATCTCAAAGAAACTGCCCGATCAGATCACAAAATTGGTAACACAATCTTCCTTTCTCCTCTTCAATGGACTCCGGTAATACTCTTCAGCCATGGCTTATAGAATGTGGTCCTCATATAAACGCCTGGTAAAAATGGAGCAGCACATTTGATGCCATGTGATACAGTTCCCACTAATTGCCACCTGCCATCTTCTCTTTGTAGAACTAGTGGCCCACCACTATCACCCTGAAATATATAAATAGAGTTGGTAATTAAGTTTTTTTTTTGATGAAATATGCATAATTATACAAAAGGGGATTATTTTCTGATCTACGATGACATACACGGTAATGCGTAGAAGATAATGATTGTCTTGGTGGGCCGTAATGACGATACGTATTAAAAATAGCTATCTAAGAATGAATATGATCTAGGTAAAGCAATACATAATATAGCATGTTTTTATTAGGTATATGATATATGCACGCACATATATCATATACCTAATAAAAAGTCAATTATATAACTAGTTTATCTCATAAACAATGAAAAGTAACATTGTGAATAAAAATCGATTATATTAGAATGTTTACATTTTTACTTATATAATGATATCATCTAAATATATGAAATATTTTATTTATTTCTATCAAGCTAATAACTTACTTCACATGAGTCTTTCTGTCCGTTCGCGTATCCTGCGCATATAAATGAGCTTAGAATCTTCTTGGAATGTCCGGCTGTCTGGAACATTTCTTGGCAGGCGCTATTCTCTATCACTGGAACCTGGAGAAAATCGATGCTTAAATTAATATAGTTATAAAATATCATCGGTATCAATCACAACTGACGATGTTTTGAATAGACAGATATTATTAAATATGATGCACAAAAATTAACATAGCATAATTTAGGTTTTTTATTTTATATATGTATTGACAAATAACTTCAATCCTAGAAAGCAAAAGAAAAATTGATCCACAATATTTGTTGCTGATAACACTAACTTTGAGGAGTTTATAGTTGATGTTTTCTTTTGTGTTTGGTTTTATTAGATGCCATGATAGTAAATCAGAACCCACAGCTTTATTTTAATAATTTACTACAGTCATTTTGATGATTGATATTAACACTAGATGGCATAAAGAATAAAAACGAATAGTTTATTCTAAGTGACGCCACTATCTAGTAGTAATTTCCATAAGCCTAAGTAAGCTGTTATCTTCCTATAATAACTGTCGACATTTTGGGGTAACTTGACGTGTTTGCTGTGTTTCCATGACTATTAAATGCTAAACATCTTTATATTTGGAATTTTGTCAATTTTATTGGTTTTCTGTGTAGTTTATTATAGTGACCTGGACTTCCTGTAAAACAGCGGGAACGCCTCCTCCATACTTGAGACGACCCCAGCCCGTAACAGTGGCCATTCGGCCGGTGAAATCAGCCTCATCAGGTGGCATACAAATTGGCACTGGAAGCAATAAGATAAAAACTCTTTATATTTTGCCTATACCATGAGAAATATATTTAATTAAAAAGCAATATATTTAAAGACAGATAGAACTAAAAAATGCAATGATTAAAACATGTAACAATAAAAGTTCATTAAACAAATCAATTCTATCACATACAGTAAGACTATTAAAAGTAGCAAGTATTCGCTAAAATAGTTTTGGTTTTATAGCGTCTCATCTACTATTAAATTACTATTGAAGAAAACTATTTCTTATAAACTCTTTTATTTTCAAAACACCTAAATCTCTAATTAACTGAAAACATATATATCTTTGTAAATTATTGCACAATAAAACTTATACATAAAATTTAATAAATATCTTACCAATATGAGCGTCAAACTTTATAGGAGATTCTAATTCTAATAATGCTAGATCATTCTCGAAGGTAGCCGCATCATACTGACGATGTACTATCACGCGCCTGACGTTTCTCGAGACAGGTTTTTTAGGCTCCTTATCGCCTGATATATCGTTCTCTCCGAAAACAGCTACTAAGGATGCAAGGAAACTGAAAATAAAAATATTTTTGATACAACAATTTTATTACTACTATTTGCAAAAGGTCGGCAATGTTATACTTTGTCATTAACTATCTTCTAATAAGAAACAGAAAGATCCGATACCATGAATTAAGACTATGATCAGACCATCACTAATGTTTCATATTTTAACTATATTTTAGATACAAATCCTTGCTAAATATTGCTTTGAGTATATTGTTATTTGATTTTATTAAGGACCTGTGTAGTATGTATTTATGCAAATAATTGAATTGATTAATTTGTTCAGAGGAGAGTTATTAGAAAAAGCATAAGGTGTAGATTAAGGGGTTTCGGATTTTTTTTGGAAATAATAAAAGTATAATGCTTCGAATTACCCAGGTTGACAATGAGCTGCTGTCGTAACAAATCTGCTGGTGATGAGAACTCCACCACATTTGTTCTTCGTAAAAAGACCCAACCAGGTTGACTCTCGAACCAGGACCTGCCAGGGAAATTCACCGAACCGTGCATTCTTACCGCCGACTATACGGCCAGTCTTGACTAGAGGTCGCACACCACACACTGAAATTGAAAAATAGACAACATAAAACACAAGGGAGGAGTATTCATTGATTTCTTCTTGAATTGTGTACCAATTTTTACCAAACAAGCTATTTCGCCGCGACTTCGCTGCATATTATGTAGCTTTCCGTAGATGAAAGACTTTTATAAGTCAGTCCGATTTCGAAGTTAGTTTCAATGTTCGATTGCTTGTTTATAAATGAGGGATAGATTATCGAAAAAGAAATTATGTCGAGCAAATAAAAAAAAAAATCTCCTTTCTATGACTTTCCCTATCTTGAATATATTTATTTTTATAGATATTTTATATTTCTAGTGATACTTATTTTATAAAAAATATCAATATCACTAAAAAGCATGAAATAAAAACTTTTTATTTAAATAGAACCAACTTTAAACTTAAAAAAAATGATACATATTACACATCTCAAAGCGACTTTCAATGAATTACTATGGAAGTATCAATTAATAACGTACATGAAATCTCCCCCGAAAGATAAATTATTATTATAGACTTAATATTGCATATACGCGTATAAGACGTAGTGCAGGCATGTATGACTTCAAAATACTACTCACAATTTTTATCATTGTAGTCTACATGTTCATATATCACTGATTCTGTAGTAACCTCGTCAGCCAGTTCCGTAGTAACTGTCGTCGTCGGGGCAATAGTCGACGTCACCTTCTTAGTCGGCTTTGTTTTTTTCGTAGTCGTGACCTGGAAGCAGGAACATCGAGGGAAAGGCGAACGTGTTTTTGTTTTTATGCATTGAGTACTTTGAAGAATTTTTTAGAGAACTTAAATGAAATTTAACTTAATTTTTTCAATTGTACTACAAAAATAAATATTTAGAATCTTTTAAGACACTATAATAAATACTAAGACTAATCTTTTAATTGTACTACTGTAATCAAGTAAGTATTTAATAAGAAAAATATTTATCTAATGTGAATAGTTTAGTATACTTTGCTTAATACGTTCTAATGTTAATATCTTTAGAATTATATGTTTAGTGTTTTCTTACCGGTTGTTTAGTTGTTGTGGTTGTAGGAGCGGGGGTAGTGGTGGTTGGAGCCTTATAAATAGTTGTTAACCTAGTCGGCTTTTTAGTCGTTTTCACTGTAGGTTTTCTAGATGTCGTAGTGATACGAAGTGGTTTTTTAGTCGTCAGAAAAGGTTTTTTAGTTGTTGTAGGTTTTTTAATTGGCTTAGCCGTAGTCGCCTTATTTACTGTAGTATTAGGCTTTTTATCTAAAATTACTATATCATGTAATTCTTGGAAAGTACCTTGAAGGCTGCCAACAATTTTGTTGACAAACAAGTTCATTTTTTCGTTTAGGTTTTCATCTTCTTGCCACGTGGGAGTGGTAAATTCAGCTTCTAATAAGTCTACTTCATTGTCAGATAAAGCTATGCTAGTATTGAAAATTGCGGGATTCGAACCAGTTGCGTTAAGCATGGGGTTTCTAACTGGTGGGAAGTTTATTAAGTCGTCTGGTGAAGTCTGTAATTCGGGTCTCAAAGTAGTTGGAGAATAATACTCTGTGTAAGATTCAAGGCTAGGGATTGGTGTGGTTGATGTCGAAAAGACTGGTCGTGTAGATGTTTTGATTGGGTAAGGAGTCGTATTAGGTGGAGGCTTAGGAGTTATGACTACAGTGGGAGATGCAGGACGTTCATAGCTTGGTGGTTTGCCCATATATATGTTGTTTGTCGATTGTATGTGATTGTTAACAGTTATCTGGCTGACGGGTTTTTTGAATGGTTCTTGAGAGATTTCTACAAACTCGGGCTCCGACTGAGATGTTAATTCTGGTTTTGCTGTCTGGAAACCATTCAAAACAATGACTGTTGGTGTGACACTGGAGAACGTATCTGGAGCTACATCATAACTTGTATCTAAACTAGTCGGTGGTGTAACAGGTCTTCTTAGAGGTTTCGATCCAGTGACATAGCTAGTTGATGGAGGTTTCCTTGTAGTAGTAGTAGGAGGTGTCGTACTTGAGCTAACGTAACTAAATGTCGTTAAAGAACTACCAAAATTGTCAGGATCTGCAGGATACCTGTTGAAAGCATCTATTTCTTGACTGGTAGATTGACTAGGAATTGAAGATGAATAATATGGTTTTGTAGTAGATTTGTCCACTATTGGTCGAATAGTAGCTGTAGGATATATTGGTTTCTTAGTTATCAACGCAGATACTTTGGTTGGATATGATACTTTTGATGGTTTTGCAGTAGGTTTCACAGTAACGTAATATCCTGAAGATGCGTAATCTGGATAGCTACTGCTGTATGTAATAGGAGGTACTGTTCCAGTTGGATATGGTGATGATTTAGTTTCCATTACGTCAAGCGATGCAGGTGACGTAACTTCTTCTTTCATACTTGCAGTACTATCATTTAGCATTTGTATGATTGAATCTATCGACGATAACTCTGTTATTTTTTGACTTTCTTTGGTGACTGTTGAAACCATTACATAGTTTTCGGTTGAAGGATATTTCATTGTAATTTTATTCACTGGTTTCGGTTTGAATACTGGCTTAGTGTATACGGGGTGATGAGTTGATACAGTTTTAGGAGTTGTAGTAGGCTTTGGTGACATTGGGCTCACCGTTGGTTTCGTTTGCATTGAAGATATTTGGATGTTAAAGTCTGATGGTCTGACTACATTATCAGCTATTGAACCGTTTTTGTTAAAGAGGATAGTGTCAGCCATATTATGATCTATACTACTGTGTGTGTAAATGCTACTTGGTTTACTAGGTTTACTGTATATATTGCTATCTTGAGGTGGGAAGCTCAGTAGCGAATTTGTGATTTGCGTGAGACCTTCAGAAATATTTGTATCATCTGCTTGTGTTGTTTTCACGTCAGGTGCTACGGTGGATGACGATGCTCCAGGTCTATAGCCTGGTGTGACTACAGGCTTAAAACTATTATGTAAGGCACTGAGTTGATCTGAGTCGTAGTCATCAGTTTCGGACTCTGCATCAGGATAGTCTAAGTAGCTAGTCATAACTACACCGGGCCCTTTAGGAATGTGAGATTGGCTATCAGATTTGAGCTGACAACAAGCTCCGAAGAGGAACCCATCCATACAAGTTCCGACGACTTCTCCACCTCTTTGCACACATTCGTGGTTGAACATACATATCTTGTTGCCTTTATTATATTTGGCTGCTCTTGACGCCTTGCACTGGGATGGTGTTATTCGGTACCCACCGAACAATTTTTTCGATTCTGTAAAAAGAAAAGAGAATGCGTTAAGTATTTATAGGTTAACTTTTATTTTACAATAAGCTTGTAAAAAGTATTGGGTAGAAATGGGCCGCGCAGGCCCAGTGGAGATTCATGGATGTTAACTACTGTAGCTGATGCAGCCGGGACCTACGCCTTAACATGTCTTCCGAAGAATGTAGAAGTTTGAGATAGTAAATTTTTGGTTACCCATTCAATGACAATCCCTTGAAAAAATTGCTTCACTTTTGCATCAGAGACCGAATGCGCTAACTTCTTCCTCATATTTATTTTATGTCTATCAAAAAATAAATCATATGTCATATTTTACGGATTTATTCGATTATTTATTTGATAATTCTTCATTAAAAGAAATACTTAGAGCTTTTATACTAATTAAGAATAAATCAAAAGTTAATCAAACACTATTTAACAGGAAGGTTTCACATAATAACATTATCAACGCCTCCTTTAATTGAAATAGTTGAATAGAGCAGAGATTTATACAAAAATATTTCTTTGGCTAAAATATAAGTTACGATGATATTGACACCTCACCGTGGTAAAAGTTTAACACTACACATGAGCATGACTTTGCACAGTGTAGAGCTCCTAAGTTACTCGTTCTACTATGCGAATATGTTATGTGATTTTAGTATAGACAAAGACAAATGGTAAGGGTGACTAAAGAAAAACTGGCGTAAATTCTTCTGTACCACTTTCCAAACTTAACTGCATATTTCCAAGTTTAACATTATATGCTAAAATTTTATAAGTTTAATTATGTTATAACAGTTATTTTCACGATTTTAAATGCAGCAGCAGTAGTAGCAGTAGTGAGAGTTAAGTCTTTGCTCATTCCAGTACGTCAAAACTCGAACCTGCTACCAATCTGTTTCCCTTCGAGCTGAGTATCGCAGTTCAGCCAATAAAGGTTTGTCGGAAAATAGCTAGTATAAGATAAAATATGTTGTCTAGCTAATATTTACTAACAATAATGAAAATTAAAATTATTTTATCTTTCCTATCCGGCCCGTATGGATGGATTGTCATTACCAGTCGGAGTCAATAATGTCCCACATTACGTTAACACTTGGCAAACCTATTTCTTTAGAGAAATTTATTTGGTTGGAAAGTGTGCGTGCGTTGTATATATATTTAAGTTTAGTGGGGAAACTTTGAAACTGACTTTCCAATACAGATTGCATTTTCATCGTGAGTACGTACTTATTTGGCAAATTGGAATTCTAGGCAAAAGATATGGTCTGCGATTGATCAATTCCTTATTCGGTTATTGACGCTTCATTATAACAGTTTTCGAAGTGCTAAATATTTAAGAAATGTTTGAAAGGTGTCAATTGTACGTTTAGGCGCACCAGTTGTAAAGTTCACTCATCAAATAGACTATCACTATTCCAGCTTCGACGATAATGGGCAATTGGGTCTTCAGCTTTATTATTAGTATATATAGATTTAGATAAATACGCACTAGCTGGGATTTTATATGAAAATTATTTATATACATATTACTAAAAGTGGCTAAATAAATAATAAATAAAAAGCAATCAATTGACAATGTTATGCCAGACTAATTACCATTACATACATTAATAAATTAACAATCTTATGCCAGACTAATTACCATCGGTAAAAATTAATATTTGCATGAAGATGAGAAAGAAAGTAAATGTGTCCAAAAATTAAGGGCTTATGATATGCAAGAGATAAGCGATTATTCTACAACAATACTAATAATAGCATGAATGATACAGAAGTTTAATGTATGTACAATTTGGACTATGCATGGAATTCACAGAATGGAATTTAAATTTATTTCTATATAACATTTATCATTACTTTCCCGCACTTAAATGATATCAGAAGGTATCATTAGTACTCTAGTTTAATATTTCAGATCAATTTGAAATATCTACGAGTATTTTATTTCAACTTAAGTAGAAACTATTATCATTCGTTTTATCATCAGTCTAACCAACGTTGAAAGTGATAGTTGCTTTGCTCTGATATGTTGCCCTGTCAATTATCTAAATCTAATAATATTATATAGAGGAAAGATTTGATTATTTGTTTGCATTGAAGAAGCACTTCTGGGCCGATTTGAACATTTTACGGAAAGTTACATTATAATTATGCTTGTGACATAGGCTATAATAAACGCGGACGAAGTCGCAGGAAGCTAGTGGCGTGTATGTTTTCACAGAAATTTGAACTAATTAATTATGATAAAAAATGGCACGCATGCATCGAAATATGTGTAGGCAGTTTCATTTGATCATTTTATCAATTTTTAAGGAAATTTCACTCTAAAATTTGATATTAAAAAAAATAGTTTCAACTAGCTTTGAAAATATTGCTTTTGGTGTGACACAACTTAAATTAAGGTGACACCGTTACTGCGAACATAAGTTTTACATAAAATTACGATTTGTAAGCGTTTTGTCAGTTCAAATCCTGATAGACGTCTGAGAAGAAAAGCTATAGTATGTATTTAAAATGCCTGTTGAGATCTAAATAAGAGGATTTCTTAAGAGGCTCAGGCCTTAATATTGAATAAATCAGACTGGAGAATAAGCCATGGCCAATCATGCGGACCCAGCTAATGTTTACGTAATAATCCCATCTCAATGGAGTCCCAATTACTTGCATTTTCAATCGTACTATCTACTTAAAGTCCAATATTATTAGTGCAACGTCTTCTTTACAAACCAATGGTGATAGATATATTTATTATTTTGTGTTCTACTAACAACAACTGTGCCATAAGGGGTTGTAGTTGAAGCGTTACTGACTTTCCATAGTTACGCTAACGTTAGCAGAAATGACCTACTGTACAGGTTAATGGACGTTGGATGCAGCAGACGCAAATGGCTTAACGCGCTTTTAGAATCACGGTCTTGAGATAATTAATTCATTTTCGGTTACCCATCCTATACCCTTTGCTAAAGTTGCTTAATCTACTTACCTCCGGAGACCATAAGCGAGAGATATATTGAACGAACCATTGATGTTAAATTATGATTGTAAATTAAATTAGTGTGCATGTGTCTTGCTAACAATAAGTTAAGTTTGTATTAACAACTTACTGGATCTTGGATGTCCAAATATTTTATTATTATTATTATAAGAATAAAACCTCCTTATCGTAGACAACGAGCTAACCACAATGCCATCGAGCTCATGTGCTACTGCAGGCACACTAACGCTATAATAGAACATTTAGATTTTTAAAAGTCGCTGTCGGGTGACATTTTTATATACCTATTACTTATTTATACCATTAATAAAGTATTGAACAATGGTCTTAAATAAAATTTTAATATTAAAATTAATTATCTAAGAAGTATATTAAACCCATCTTCAGCAAAGCTATTCTGTTATAAATCAAACCTCGAACTGGACGTCGGGTGCAGCATTGTCATAGGATTGAGGTTAAATTAAATAAAACCTACTTCAAAAGCTCTATGCTCTAACAGCTTATCTCATTAAAGCTATATGCTTTAACAGCGCTGAAGTCAATTTACAGAACTAGCTCTTTTCTTATTTACGCGGAAATTATAACCTTTATCACCCGCTTATGAGGCTTCCAGTAGATGAAAGTTTTTTTTAAATCGATCAAGTAGTTTCGTATTCTATTCAATACAAAGAAGTCTTTCCTGTTTATAATATTATAGTATAGCTGTCTATGAACTATACAAAACAATATTTATCTGTCATCTAGAAATTGAAATCTCCAAATCGCTTTCAGATTGGGAAAACAATTTAAAATTCCTAGTGTATTACGAAGAAAGTGTCACACGTGCTGGTTTAATTTCGTAACAATTTTATGATATTGGTATTCTGCGTGCGTATGTACATGTTGACACAGTTCTTAGCATCCTGTTGGTATCCGGTCAGCTAAGATCGCGTGGTTAAAATAGTGTTAGGTGGTGCTATATTAAATACTAGCTTTCCGCCAAAGGCTTTAGCCGCTTGGTCTTATTTTAAACATAGGTATAGCCTTTCATCATCATTCATTAATATAGTGAAAAAAGTTTCGTCGAAGTTGCTTATGGACGTTAAATTGAAAAGTGCCAAACGAACAATGGAATGAAATAGTTCAAATATAAGGGAAGTGTAATTTCATTTCTAATTTTTAATAATCATTTTAGTGAGTTTTTTTATGCTGAAAGTTTTAATTAGTTATTATCGTTGAAAGTTGGCTTTGAACGTTGTCTCTCTGAATTTAACTAATAATACTCTATATCTTGCTCAAAGATATAAAGTTTCAATTCTCATTAATTTTTAAACTACTTCTGAGAGATGATTCAGTGGTATTAAATAATATCTGTATAGGAAATGACGTTAGTAAAGAAAATGACTCATACATACATAATAGATGAGGCCACGTCTTACATTATGTAGAAGAAAAAGAAAGTTTTGTGACAAATTTCAAGTTTTGTCATCCTAAATTTGAAAGAAGTCTTTAAAGATTGAAATCGCCGAACGTGCTGATTCAACCTCGGGTCAAACACGTAACTTATTTGATATTACTTACAGGTTAATTGTGATCTTTGAGTGTTCATACTCAACATAAATCAAATTTATAATAAATAGACATAAAAAAATATTTACATATTCTGGTATGATATAAAGTAAATTAATTGCACTTATAATACAATTAGTTCAATAGATGGCGTTGTTTCATTTTTATATGCTTGTTACATATATACATCAGTGGTTCTGATTAGAGCTTTTGACCGTTACCATAAATTAATTGTATAAATACACAGGATTAAACTATAGTCTTCCAATGAACCCTTAGATTATTGAAAATGTACTATTCTTTTTTTTCACTAAGATATTAGCAGAGCAACTGCCTAACTCTCTAGCCATGATTCGAGCCATAGGATACGACATCTCATCGATGTTATGGCGATATTTCGTTTCATTTTATAACTTCGACATGTACTTCAGCAACAACAAATAAACGATAACGAATGATGATTATGGATTTAATAGCAGTTACCAATTCAACCTTTTATCTGAAATTTATCCACCAAAGTAACATGAAACGAAACATCGTCTTGTGACGGGTTGGTTCGATGCTTGAGCGAATTAAAGAGAGGTTGACTAGCTTGAGAATTTATTTATTCTTATTTAATGGGTAACGAAAATAAACCCTTTTTGGTTTTCTTAATAAAAACTTGGAAGCTATTACAGGATATAATTTTATATATTTTATTTTAGTGACATATCTTCATAATTATAATATTTATATTTTTATTACATGTTCACAACAGAAGTTTTTTTTACAAACTGACATTCATAAAAAGCATATTTGCTTAATCAAAATTTAAAATTACGAAAGGTTAAAAAGAAATGATGTTGAATATCAAGGAACAAAAGTTTCCATGCTGAAACCTAGGATGAAATAGACTGTTACAACACACCGTTGGCTAGAGTTAGGCAACCTCACCCTAGAGCTGATGGAAACAGACAAAACGAATTTTGTTTATACCTTGCCAATTAATGATAAATTACATTATTAGAATTCCGAGAATTAGGCGTCTGGTGTATAATTGATAACGCTGTATACCTAACATGTACACGATGATTTAAATATTTATTGTTTTATATGTCACGGTAAAAGCGATTAATTAATAAGGCATTATGATGAAAAATGTTGTACAAACACCTATCGCGCAGAACAATTGAAAAGACGTTTTATTACGTTACTATTTTTATTTCTTTATAGATATTTCCATCCAATGCAAGGTTGCCATCTCATAAAGAAATCGCTGGCTAGCGATAAGGCCGCCTTTTGTACGATCTTTTGTAAATATTTATGTGTGTCTATATCATTTTCCTTTTTTGTGCCATAAAAAGTATTTATTATTATTACATGAAAGAGGTATAATTTATGTATATCATACTTAATTAAAAAATGGTAATTATCCTTGTAGGTCACGTGATAGATTAGAAATTCCGAGGTTATATTTTTCCAGATCACAGAAATCATGACCTATATAAATTGACTGCCCCAAACAGTTTGTTTTGTTATGATCAGTGGCATACGACTACGTTGTCTTTTGGTCATCGTTATAAAATAAATTTATTGTTTCAAACTTCTTGGATCGTTATTTTCACGTTGTTTTAGAATTTACCCTTGAGGTCAGAAAGAAGAGTGCCACCGATTTGACGCCATGATACTTTTCTCGGAAATCACAAATTTGTTACTTTATTTATTTAAACTTCTTTGCACAAATAAAGCGTGCAAATGGCAGACTTAGTACACAGTAGGCATTCTCTATTAGTCAAACTGAGAGTTATGGAATAGATACATTAATAAGGCAGTGCTACAAAAAAAAATTAAGAGTGAAGGTTGCGGCTGTGTGAAGCACCTAGAAACTGAAACTTAAGTTTCAAATATCCAGGGCGCACATGGATCTTTAATGATAGAATAAAGAGTAGAGAGCATCCTCAGATGACGACTCTGGCGAATAGTTAGCCATTAACTTTTTCCTAAAAGAAGAGACATGATCGTATTTAAAAAGTATAGTGTTATTGAGTAATCGATCCAATTTGTTGAGAAGTGCCTGTGTGATATCAGCGTAACACATCAACATAATCTATAATGGGAGAAACGGTTTTAATTCATTCTCTTCTTCTTCTTGGTCATATTCATTATGACTGATGGCCGTGATAGTCATCTTACGAGCATGAATTACGATAATTTGCGCATCTCACCACCTCATGGAAATTGTAAGTAGAGTTTAATTCTTCATTTGATCAGTTCATCGCACTGTTAATCGGCCACATGATCTTACATTCGATATTCCCAATAACTATAACCGCCCACGTTTACGTCACATCTCATAATACATCTTAAAACATTGTTATGTTATAATTACGGAAAAATATGTAGTGTAAATAACAAAAGCTACGGTTACAGAATCAATAATATAATAACTGAAGCATACGGAAGCGTGATATATACCAATCAGAGCGTGGTAGAAACGCATACCTTGTGTTGAGCAAATCGCTGCTCTCACGGCTAAGTATTGAATATACACATGTCAAAGGGGATGGATATGTCGATCTTTTAACATTATCCTATTTTTTCTCTTTATTTAATTAGACGGTTTTAATATATTGATTATGTCACCCTCGAAAGTGCACATACAATATTTTAATTTCCACGAGATATACAAATATTCACAATGTTAATTAAACATTTTGCTTCCTTAGATAAAGGGAAAATTAAATATCGTTACGTACTACATTACATATTGGGATATCGAACTTAATAACCGTTACCAGCCTCTCTGCCTCGTTCCGGGAACGAATGTTCCCGGAACAACTACTACGTTACTATATTATGACAGAATTAATAATTGTCATAATATAGTACGCGTCTTACACCACATTGCACTCGTTAAAGTTAGGAGATGACATTTTGCCCATTAGATTAGTAAATTTATTTATATTTAAAGGTATAAATAAATAAATAATAATATTATATGAATCTTAACATAGTAAAGTGATGGATCTAAAGTTACACTATATGTACTAAGGCCTAAAGTTATCGAAAGTCCGAATAGTAAATAATCGAGTTAAAGTAATAAAAAAGTAAGAATAATAATATTAATAATTCTTCCTTCATTCAAATTCTCAACTATTTCTTAAAATAGGTACTCAAGTAACAACTACTACTTGATTATAGAAACAGGGGTAAAACAGATATAAAAAAAAACGAAAGATATTTCTTAGTTAGTGATATAAGAATTTTTATTTTGAAATAATATAACTGAATATGATCTAATTAGATGTTTCTTTAATATTTTAACTGCCTTTGTTACTAACATTTATAGATTATTTTTCAATTTAACGTTGTTTTATATTTTAGTATTGTTAGTTACAAATAATGTGTAAGCTAACTAATATTGCATATTTATTATAATAATTTCTTAAAACTTAATTATAATAAGTTATCAAT